AATCAACAAATCCTGCTACTTCCGTCTCGAAAACATTGCCTGCATCCGACCTTATTTAACTCCTGATACGGCAAAGGTGCTTGTAAATGCCGCTGTCCTCTCTCGCCTTGACTACTGTAATCCGCTTCTCAGTGGTCTTACGTGTTACCAACCTGCCCCGTTACAGTTTATAATGAATGCGGGGGCGAGGCTCATCTTCCTGTCCGCCCGCACCTCCCATGCCTCCCCCTTTGTCAGTCCCTACATTGGCTACATATGATATAGATAATCTAATATAGAATAGATTGCTGACGTGTGAGAAATGCGATATCTATGTATGGTTTTGGTGTCCTCAAATGTCACATTCCTATGTTCACATCTTCTTGCACGTAGTGTATATATACACACACACACACACACTGCTGTATGTGTGGGTGTGTGTGTGTGTGTTAGGGTCCTGTTAGTGTGCTGTGTGTGTGTGTGTTTGTGAGGGTGCTGTTTCTGTGCTGTGTGTGAGAGGGTGCTGTGTGTTTGAGGGTGCTGTATGTGTGTGGGTGTTGTGTGTGTGTGTGCTGTGTGGATGCTGTATTTGTGTGCTGTGTGTGTGTGGGTGCTGTATGTGCGCTGTGTGTGTTGTATGTGTGTAGGTGCTGTATGTGTGCTGTGTGTGTATGTGTGCTGTGTGTGTGTAGGTGCTGTATGTGTGTAAGTGCTGTATGTGTGTAGGTGCTGTGTGCAGGGACCTATTAGCCGCGAGGAAAACAAGGCATTTACCTTGGGCGGCATTTTTCAGGGGGAGGCAAAAAACGCTGCCCCCAAATGCCCAGGGCAAATGCCTAGTTAGCCTTGCGGCTAATAGACATGCTGGGCGCTGGGCGGTGCTGGCTGATGGTCGCGCCGCAGAGTGATGCTGGGAGCCGGAATATGACGTCATCAACCCGGCTCCCAGCCTCACTCTGCAGCGCGCGAGGGAGCTAAGCAGACCGCTCAGAGGAAGAGCTTCCTCGCCAGCCGCCCGCCCGACCATCAGCCAGCGCCACTCGCCAGCCCATCAGCCCGACCGGCAGCCACTGGACCACCAGGGAGAAAGAGGAACCCCCCCCAGCACTCCCAAAGGTAAGGAGGCTGGTGGGGTTAAATTAAAAAAAAAAGTGTTAATGTGAGTGATTGTGTGTGTGTGTCTGACTGTGTGTGTGTTTGTGTCTGTGTGTGTCTGACTGTGTGTGTTTGTGTGTGACTGTGTGTGTGTGTCTGACTGTGTGTGTGTATCATTGTGTGTGTGTGTGTTTGTGTCTGACTGTGTGTGTGTCTGACTGTTTGTGTGTGTGTGTGTGTGTGTGTATTTAGAAGGTGGGGCGGGGGGGAAGGGTTGGGTGGGGGTGGCACGGGGGAAGGGAGGTGCCTGAGTTTTGTCCTGCTGGTTGAGCTCCCTGGGTCCTTTCCTGCCTCCCTCCATGCTGCAGTGGGGAGGAAGGCTGAGAGCAGAGCCGGCACTCAGAAAGCGCTGGCTCTGCATGGACCGACGTGCGCACGCCTATGGGGGCAGGACAGGACTGTACATGGACTGGGAATACAAAATAAAACAAGACAAGATATAATAGGCAAAACAAGAGGAGACAAAACTAAGTACTATATATGTAAAACATTGAAGATTTAGACATACATAAATGGCCAAGATGTATGCAGCCCACCACTGTGCCAAAGTACTCCAATTTACGGTGGGTCCTAGACTGCCTAGATATGCATGACTAAATAAACAATAATAAAACACACACAGCACTTACCTGCAAGAAAGGGGCAGAGGACTTGGAGCAACTGCCTGCAGGAACCAACTGAAACAAAAAGGATTAATGGAAAAGGAATGAGTGTGGCAACATAAAACAAACATATAAAGAAATCCAGGAGACTGGGAATTCCAGGAACAGAATGAAGGAATGAACCCAGAAAACCCATCATAAAGAAAACCAGACACATAATAGAAAACCAGAAAGACTAAACAAGAATTGTAAAAAGAGTACTGGATACCAGAAGCCAAGGTCAGACCTCTAAACAGGACAGAGCAGGTCCTGACAGGAAGATCCTTGCAGGAGCTTCCAGCTCAAGACAATGTGTCCACAGACACTTGGTGGACCAAAGTTAAGTTGTCAAACACTTTCAAAACTACTTGACCACAATTCTATCGTCAATGTACTCAAAATATGTGTCATTAGAGTTGTATGTAAATGCTGGCCAGTAGTGTTCCAATAGAAAAAAGGTATTGGGTGAATAAGCGTTTAATAGTGTTATTTTTTTGTTTTTTTACATGTTTTTATTGAGGCATTGGGTGATTACATTGCAAGTAAAAAGGAGTTATTACAAGAGTGCATAAGTACAGAAAATGTTTAGCATACATGTAAACATGAGTATGTTATATATGAAAGACAAACAAGGGCAAACTCCTAATCAATATAGCCTCATTTTAAAATAATAAAGAAAAATAATTGTAAGTACACGTCTAAATAGGTATTATCTACGCTTTCTGTCACGTAAAGTCATATAAACATGTAAAACATGCTAAACAAAACAGGCTATAATACCACTGTATACTAACAATGAGAGAAGTTTGAACATTAATTCCGGCTTGCTCATATTATGATTTGTTATGAATGCTCAGTAATGTTGCCAACTAATAATCAGCCTATGCCACGAGTAGGCCACATCAGACAGTCCATCTCTGAGCCGGGAATGCTGCCATTATTGCCTTCCCAAAACAGACTGGTGGCTCTTCCCTCAGGGTGAGGATCGCATTCCTTGCTGCAGCCCCTTGGTTGTACTTGATTGGTGACACAAAGTATATGCCTCCGTGTTACGCTGGCAGTGCTGGGTCCCCCTAGGAAAGTGCTGGAATGAGCAATGTTGTGTTGCAGGATGACTCTGGAAGGAAGAGTTGGAGGTAAGTTTCTGGGTTTGGAGTTTCACCCAGAAGCACTCACAAACACAATTAAAGGCAAGAAGGAAGGTATGCATAGGTGTAGACGACCATGGGTAATTGGATCATCTGTCATCTCTTGTACAGCGGCCATTTTAGGTGCTAGGCCCCAACTCTCCTAATCGCTTGTAGGTTTCGACAGGAGGACCATGATTCAATAGTGGGGACAGGGATAACTCCCACCGGCCCGGGGGGGGGGAGGGGGGGAGTACAGGGCCTAATGCACAGGCATTGTGTCACACAGTGCCATACATCTTTTGGAGACAGTCCCCTTCTCACAGTTATGTAAGCTGTAAACAGCATACCAAAGTCATTGCAAGCAGAGAGCTCTTATTTTATTGTTTGTGTTCTCCTGATACCCCGGTTGTGTGTGATATTCTATAGAATTTTATTATTCCTTTGAACTAATATATTTTATATATTGTTTTGGTTGAGTCCCTGCAAAACAAGAAGTTCCAGAGACTATGAATCCTTTTGGCACAGAGCATAATCACATTGTGTCTTTGTAAAGATGATATCTAGAGCAGGCAACGCGGAATCATAGCAGTCATTCCTTTTGGTGGAGGACAAAGCCTTACCCTGAAAAATAGTTTCAGGGATAAACAACGCAGGAGGGAGGGTTGGGATCCTAGGCCGGCAATCGGTAATCTATTTTTCCATTAATCCTTGTAAGATTTAAAACAGTATTTGCTGGTTGAACAAAGTGGCCTGGATACATGTTTGGGTTTGAACACAAAATTAAGAAATTGAGTTTCTGCTGCAGTGTTGAAATCAGAGACTTCTACCACTAGGTGGCAGCATCTTAACAAGGTTTGGAATGAATATGTACCTGGAAGTAAATATTTTATTTCAGTTAAACAATTGTTAATAAAAAAGACAGGCAGTGGAGTACATATAGGAGTCGACCTGGCCCATCACTCAAGGGGGCACGGCTGCCCTGTGGACCCCTGCGACCAGGTAACAGCCGCCATGTTTTGCGGCCCCAGCAGCAAACTGTCAGGGCCGCACGTTCAAGGGGCTCTTCGGGTGACCCATTCTGTTAGGGCCATCTGATGGGAGATCACTACTGCCCGTCATTCCTCCCAGCTATCAGAGAGCCACACAGAGGAAGGAGAGGGAGTCAGAGAGGGAACTCCCATCAACCAGAGCCACCACTGACTTAAACATTTTGTATATGTGTGTGTGTTTGTTTGTATGTATGTTTGTGTGTCTGTATGTATGTGTGCCTGTATGTTTGTATGTATGTATGTGTCTGTGTGTATCTGTATGTGTCTGCCTGTCTGTCTGTATCTGTGTAGTGTGTCTAAATGTATGTATGTGTGTCTGTATGTATGTCTGTCGGGGATGTGGAAGCATGGATCAGTTTCGCACCGGGGCCCCATGGATTGTGTGTGTGTACGCCACTGCAGACAGGTATACAGTTGTTTCACCCCTACAAGGTGAATGAACCATTGAAAATTTGCAAATATGCTCTGAATGGAAACTAGAAATAAGGCAAAACAAATCAATAGGACAGAGGAGTGCCTTGAACGATAGGAGATATATGGAATCTGTAACCTGGGTCAGGAAGTGAAGGAATCTGGAAAATCCAGTAATTGCAGACAGTGAAGAATAGTACTACATTTTGTAAGACACGGATCTACAAAAAGATTCCCAGGCACTGGAAAAAAAACTAGGAATTTAACCCCTTCCCCCCCCACCCCCCATAGCCTGGTGGGAGGGGGACCCAAGGACCCTATAGAGCCAGGAAAACAAGCATATTTTCCTGGCACTATAGTGGTCCTTTAATAGAACTTAGTGAGAATATCACTCCGCAAAAGAATAAATCGTGCATGTAAATCTGGTATTACCCAAATGTACCGTATATACTCGAGTATAAGTCGAGTTTTTCAGCACATTTTTTGTGCTGAAAAACCCCACTCGACTTATACTCGAGTTAATATCTGTATTATGGCAATTTACATTGCCATAATACAGACCAGGACCGACGGGCTCATTACAAGCCCAGCGGTCCTGTTGGGGGCTGGCAGAGAGCTGTTACTTACCTTTCCTGCAGCTCCCTTCTCTCTCCTCCGTTCCGGTCAGCTCCCCTGTCAGTTCCAGTGTAAATCTCGCGAGAGCCGCGGGGAATGGAGCTGACCGGAACGGAGGAGAGAGAAGGGAGCGGACAGGAGCTGCAGGAAAGGTAAGTAACAGCTCTCTGCCAGTCCCATCCACTGGACCACCAGAGAATGAGAGCCCCCCTCCCTGACCAGCTAACAAGCAGGGAGGGGGGACAAAAATAAATATAAATAAAAAAATTAAATAATAATATAATAAAAAAAAATTATATATATATATATATATATATATAAAAATAATTTAAAAAAATAATAAAAATGCCCACCCCCCCACCAAGGCTCTGCATCACACACACACACACTATATTCATACACACACTGCATTCATACAAACACACTGCATTCATTATATACACACACTGTAAATAAATATTCAATTAATATAATTTTTTGGGGATCTAATTTTATTTAGTAATGTACCAGTAGCTGCTGCATTTCCCACCCTAGTCTTATACTCAAGTCAATAAGTTTTCCCAGTTTTTTGGGGTAAAATTAGGGGTCTCGACTTATATCATATATATATGAGAGAGAGAAAAAAAAAAAAAACTATTTTGCATTAGTCCAAGAATTAAATGGGGTTTCTCCTTCTGAATCTTCCAGTACTCCTGGTGTTAAAAGTCAAATTGCAATCTAAAAGAATAAAAGTTTAAAATGGTGTAATATCACCTGGTAAGAGATTTCCACCATGTACACCCTATGTGGAGTGCTCACTTTGTAAAAATGCACTTGTAGTAAAACTCTTGAAATGTGACCGGTTCCAATTTGGATTCCAAGAGACAAAAAATATATCCACTGATTGTGCAGTACTGAATCAGCAGGGATTGGAACACTCCCCCTATATACCACGCTCACCTGGTACAAGTGTGTGAATTTTTTTTTTTTTTTTTTTTTGCAGTGCATATAAAGATAACAAACAGGCATGGGGTACCCCAAAGGCAATCCACATGCACATTTCCAGACAATAGTTACACAGTAGTAAGAGCATTGGGGTATGTTGAACAGTGCACTAATTTTATATTTGGGTATATGCTTGAGTCGTGCTAGATAAACATTTTGTACATTAAGGTTCCGTTAGCGCTAATTTTACTAGGTTGGCATTAGTAACTCAGTTGTTATACCATGTGTAGAGTATGGAGCCTATACAGCGATCATTCATTTTGTTATATTCGGTGTTCACAGTTATACTAAGCTTAATAGCACTCGACAATCACATTATCCTAATCACTATAACAGTTAACATTTAACCGCTTAAATAGCTGTAACCATGCTTAATTTAATTTAACCCATTCTTATTGTGCTGGGCATTTGAATATCAGGCACAATTGCATTATAACATAAACTTGTTTAACATAATCAGGGTTAACCGTGTAGCTTCGTCTGTAAGTATGTATTTATGCTGTGAATATGCTTGGTCAGAGCGTGGGTTAAGTTGGAAGCTTGCGGTTACACATTGCTAGGCAGGTAGATTATGCATGTTGTGTGGGTAATATGCTAGGCTAGTGTGATGTTATCAGGCATAGAAGTGTAGGATCTATGTGTAACAAGCTGGTGCAGCGACAGCGTGTATAAGACTGATATAGCTATAGAAGCTAGGATTTTCGTTGTTAGCTAAGGTGTGAGTAAGCCTGTGTGTACAATGGGCTATTTACAGTTAACAGTGTCCATGAGAGGTTGTCAGGTCGCAGACCGTTGGCAGGCTTCAGGAGGTAGGCTGATGGGTGTGTTGTGTGCCTTCCTCAGCCTATGCCCCGTGCTTGCCGCAATGGAGAGTCCGTTTCCAGGTCTGGTTTGCTCGTGCTTCTAGTCGGTATGCGGGAACGTGGGTTGCCCTGTTCGCGTTGCGAGCTCTGTGTGCTGCACGATGGGTCTCTGTCTCTTCGGCTCTGGGCTTTGTAGGGGGCTAGTGCCCTCTGTCCGTGGATCCCCCTCCGTCGGGAGGCCGGATCGTGGGTCCCCGGGGTTTCCGGCTTGCGGTCTTCCCTGTGGGTGGTCGGACTACGGCCTGGAGTTTCCTCCAGTTGGGCCCCCGGCCCAGAAGAGGGACAGGTGTCCGCTGCTGTGTGGTAGGTAGGTTCTGTTTCGGGAGGGCACGGCTGGGGTCCCCGCTTGGCTAAGCGGTCCCAGAAGGCCTGGCAAATAGCCTCAAACCGGGCGTCAAAGGCCTCTCTCCAGCTTTGGTCCGTCTGGCTTACTGGGCTGTGTTGGGGTTGCGCTGTGGCGGCCATCTTGAGGGTGCCTCGTGGCTCACCCAGGTGTCTGGCTCAGGCCCCTTGGCAGTAGCTAGTAGTCTGTGCTTCAGTTGCTTAGTGTGGACCGGGATGTCCCCCACCGGTCCAGGGGGGGGGGGAAAGGAGTTAGGAGGTATGCTGAGCCTGTGGTCTGGCTCTCTAGCGAGGAAAGCGGCCGCCTCTCCTCGGTTCGATCCCCAGTAGGCCTCAGCAGGTTTTTAGGGTTCCCGGCTCTTGTTAGACGAGAATCGGGTGTCAATCGGTTCCTCCGGGTGTCCCCTCCTTGTTTAGCATCCTCCTGATAGTAGACGTGCCGGTTTTTAGGGGGTTTTACCCTTAAATGTGCAGTTTTGGTCAGGAGCTTGGTTCCTGCACGTCTGATCAGCCTGGAAGCTAGGCTCCGCCCCCACAAGTGTGTGAATTTAATAGATGTGTATGTTTAGTCAACCCATTGTATAGCAATGCAGAAAATATTTTATATAATAAGTGATGATAATATTATTATTAATAATAATTGCTTTACTAGCTTGGCAGGGTTGGATCCCTGTGCACCCGTTGGAATAGTTTAGTGAAGTGGTTTTGTTTTGGAGCAGACCCAGCATATGCTAGTAGGTGGTCACAGAGCACCGTGCCGTAGCAGCTAATTTCTGTAAAGATATATACCCTTGCGCTATGCTATTCACCTGTTGCCCCTAACTCCACAATTAGTCACCACATCAGTTTCACACCCTTAGATACCTTTGCCAGCATTTCTGACGCCAGACACTGTAGCTCTGCCCCGTTTATGACATCATCAAGCTACATCCACTGCGTGCCATCATCACATCTCTGACTTTGCTCAATTACATTTTGGGGTTGTGGCTATCAAGAAAATGCCACCAGGCCTATTAATACCTGTGCTTACCCGAGTTCAGTGCCATAGAGTGCATTTTTGATGTGTTTCTGATTCCTGGTTTATTGATCTTGGCTTGTTTTGACTATTCTCTATATCTCTGCCCTTGGCTAGTTTATCGATTCAATGTACCTCTACAGTTCTTGACATTCCTATTCCTTGTCTTTTGCATGTAAAGCCTGTCAGCTCTGAGATCCAGTAAGATCTTTCTTTCTATATCTTTTATCTACCGTTCTCCTTGTCCTGTATGGTCTTATTCTGAGTGTTGGGTTAAACCTATCCTGACAATTTCTTATTACTGGGCTGGTGCAGCCAACTCTTCATTAAAATATGATTATCTAACAGTTCTTATATAGTGCTAGCCCAGGGCACTTTGCATTTATTAAAACAGAACATTTGTAATTATTCAGAAAATAGACAGACTATATACAAAATAATAATAAAGGCCCTGCCTTTGAGTTTACAATCTAGCCATTACAGTACTATTATGCAAAGTGCTTAATAAGATGACTTGTGAGTTTGCAATCTATAGGTAATAGTGAAGTGTTGAGACATGAGTTTGCATGGATGTTTGAAGCTGATGGCTAGAGATCTGAGGACATGTAAATACTTAGCTTGTGAAGTAGTTAAATAGTCAAAGGAATACTATAGTGACAGGAACAAAAACATGCATTCCTGTCACTATAACTGTAATATCACTATAGAGCACCCCGGTCCACTTGTAACCTATGTGAAATGTAAGTTCACTTACATTTATTCCAGTGCCACACGAGACAGCCGGCGCTGGCTCCACCTCCGACCTTCCTTTTTGGCTGAGATCATCAAAACTGATGATCTCAGCCAATCCATTGCTTTCCCATAGGAAAGTATTGGGAGGGTATTGCACATGCATGGCAAAGCTCCACGCTGGCCAATCAGCATCTCCTCATAGACATGCATAGAATCAATATATATCTATGGGGAATGTTCAGCGTTCCCATGCAGAGCACATTGTGCAACACTGACCCAGGAAGCACTTCTAGTGGCTGTCTGAGTGACTACCACTGGAGATGTTCGTAGGCAGCAATGTAAACACTAAAAAGCTTCACTGTGTGGTACATGCACCCACCCCAGTGAACACACAGTGTAGCGCTAAAGAATATTTCCACTTACCCTCACTATATGGGTGAGGTGTATTATCCTATAATGGAGAAAACGAACAGAGTAGTATATATATTTAGTCATATACCCTAGACTGGATATACTACTATATGTTAGTATTTTTCATTATAGGATAATACACCTCACCCATATAGTGAGGGTAAGTGGAAATATTCTTTTAAGCACTCCACTGTGTGCTCACTGGGGTGGGTGCATGTATACCATGTGTACCACACAGTGAAGCTTTCTACAGTTACCATTGGTGTGAATATGAGAGATATTCACATATACGTGGTAGTGGCTCATAGTTTTTTATAATACTGAACCTATTGTTTAAGAGCCTATTAAATTACTTATTACTTTTTAGCAATGTAAACACTGCCTTTTCTCTGGAAAGACAGGGATTAAAATTAAAATGCCTGCAGGGACAAGCTATAGACACCAGAACTACATTGAGCTGTACAGAGGCGGCTCTCTAATTAGGCGGATTAGGTGGCCGCCTAAGGCCTCGCGCTGACTGTGTCAGGCCCGTTATGCCGCCGGGTGCGAGGCCCCTCCTGGCTGCCCGGCCACTATCGCAGGCACAGGTCTGCAGCTCCGCAGTGAGCAGAGCTGCAGACCATGTGTCTCACGAAAACCGGCCAATCAGAGCGTTGCCGCAGGTTACCACGGCAACGCTCTGATCTGGTCTCGCGATATTACATGGTCTGCAGCTCTGCGGAGCTGCAGACCAGAAGAAGTGGCCACCGGACCACCAGGGAGCCCACTGGACCACCAGGGAAGAGAAGGTAGGCTGTCTCACCACCCCAACTCCCTCACCACCACCCTCAGCCTCCCCCCACCAGCCTCACCACCCTCAGCCTTCCCACCACCCCAACTCCCTCACCACCAGCCTCACCACCACCCTCAGCCTCCCCACCACCCCAACTTCCACCCTCAGCCTCCCCCCACCAGCCTCACCACCCTCAGCCTTCCCACCACCCCAACTCCCTCACCACCAGCCTCACCAACACCCTCAGCCTCCCCACCACCCCAACTTCACCCTCAGCCTCCCCCACCAGCCTCCCACCCTCAGCCTTCCCACCACCCAACTCCCTCACCACCAGCCTCACCACCACCCTCAGCCTCCCCACCACCCCAACTTCCACCCTCAGCTTCCCACCCCCCACACCAGCCTCACCACAACCCCACCACCAGCCTCACCACCACCCTCAGCTTCTCACCACCAGCCTCCCACCACCCTCAGCCTTCCATCCCCCCCACCAGCCTCAGCCTCCCCCTGCCCTTGGCCTCCCCCACCACCCCTCAGCTCACTCCCATCACCCTCCAGCCTTCCCACCCCCCACCAGCCTCCCCCACCACCCCCACCAGCCTCCCCCCACCACCCTCAGCCTCCCCACCACCCCAACTCCCTCACCACCTGGGCCTCCCCACCAGCCCAACTCCCTCCACCACCACCCTCAGCCTCACCACACCCACCACCTCGCCACCCCAACTCCCTCACCACCAGCCTCAGCCTCCCACCACCCAACTCCTTCACCCACCACCCCCAGCCTTCCCACCCCCCCACCAGCCTCACCACCAGCCTCAGCCTCCCCCACCACCCCAACTCCCTCTGCCCCACCAGCCTCCTGGCACCATCCTCACCATCACCCCAACTCCTCACCACCAGCCTCAGTCTCACATACCACCCCCCTCTCCTTCAGACATTACCCCCCTCTCACCATTACCACCCCTCCCTCTCACCATCACCCCCCCATACACACAACACACTTCAAGCAGCTACTCCATACACATACGGTCTCAGACAAAAACGCAAACATGCTCACAGAGACATACATTCACACACACACACACGGATACTCTCTGTCAGACACACTCTCAGGCACATACACAGATAGACAGTGCCTCAATGTGTATATGTGACACTTTTTTGTTAGTGGGGCCTCATGTTTGAGTTTTGCCTAAGGCCTCAAAGTCTAGAGCCACCTCTGGAGCTGTAGTTGTTCTGGTGATTATAGTGTTTCTTTATAGTATGTTCTTTCAGTTGCCTCTAATCTTTAAGAAATAAAAAGCCAGGGTGGTTTAGTGGTAGTAACATTTTGGAAAGATGTATGTCCTTCTCTATCTGGATGTCTCTATGCTGATGCTTAGATGTAGGGGGGAAAAAAACATGGTTTAGAGAGAGAGAGAGCTGGTACATAATGGTAAACTGTCTTATGTCATTATGCATTACCAGTATTATTTAACACTAATACATGCTTCACTGTTATTTATCTTATACATTACATGATATTTTTAGATCAGGTTTGATTTGTGTAACAGAATTATCTAGTAAAGTGAGAATTCAAAGTGAATTCAAGTTTAAGGCCAGAGTAGCTGAACTGAAAGTATAGCTGACTTAGAGAATTATTTTCAGTTTGGCTATTTTGACCTTAAAGGGACACTATAGTCACCAGAATAAATACAGCTTAAAGGGGCACACTAGTCACCAGCAGGGCCGGATTAACATAGGGGCTGATGGAGCTGCAGCTCCAGGCCCAGGCCCATGGAATAGGCCCATTTAAAAAAAAAAAAAATTTTTTTTTTCACACTAATCTTAAGTTTGCCACCTGACTGGTATTTTAATGGCACAGGCGGTATTTGAGGCTGCCTGGCCGTGCCGGTATTGCAGTAATACCAGCAATACAAATACAGGTAATTTTCTCAGAATAAATGGAAATTACTACACTACCAGCACCGGCCAGTAGGGGTCACTGTGTGTGGAGAGAGGCAGGTATAGGAAGTTACAGAATATCCCTGCCTCTCTCTACTACTTACTGATCCCTGGGAGAGCAGCTACACAGCGCAGACAGTCCAGACAGCAGCTTTACAGCTCAGGTAAGTGAGGGATGGGGGGAAAGGCAGCAGGGACACATGGAGACACAGACACTAGGGGACACATGGGGACACAGACACTAGGGGACACATGGGGACACTGAGACACTAGGGGACACGGACACATGATGACACATACACTAGGGGACACTGAGACACTAGGACACAGACACTGGGAGACCTGGGAACACAGACACTTGGGGACACTGGAAAACATGGGGACACTGGGACACATGAGGATGCTGAGACACATGGGGGCATTGGGAGACACTATGTTCCCATGTCCCCCAGCCAGTGTCCCTAGTGTCTCAGTGTCCCCAGTCTCCCAGTGTCTGTGTTCCATGTCTCTCAGTGTGCCTAGTGTCCCCATGTCTTTGTCCACAACTGTCCCCATGTCTCCCCAAGTGTCTCTCCCAGCTAGTGTCCCCTAGTCTCCCAGTGTCCCCTCAGGGCCGGCGCGTCCATAAGGCGGCACAGGCGGCCGCCTTAGGGCGCACGGGCTCTGGGGGCGCAATATTTCAGTGACCGGCAGGAGGGAAGCTCTCCCTCCTGCCAGGCCACCATCTCGACCCCCGGCGCAGCGCGCGGCAGTGCTGTGATCAGGCGGGCGAGGGAGCTCTAATCTCCACCCTCTGCTCCCTCGCGCGCTGCCTACTGATGCCGCGGGAGCCGGAATATGACGTCATCAGTAGGCAGCCCGCGAGGGAGCAGAGGATGGAGATTAGAGCTCCCTCGCGCGCCTGATCACAGCACTGCCGCGCGCCTCTCAGCAGTCCCAGCCCTCAGGGACCGATCCAGCATCCACACCAGCTCTCCAGGTAGGGAGGCTGGGTGGAAAATGTTTATTTATAAAATTATTAGTGAATGTATGTGATGTGTGTCTGTGTGTGTGTGTCTGTGAGTGACAGTGTGTGTGTCTGTGTGTGTGTGTCTGTGAGTGACAGTGTGTGTCTGTGAGTGTGTGTCTGTGAGTGACAGTGTGTGTGTGTGTGTCTGTGAGTGACAGTGTGTGTGTCTGTGTGTGTGTCTGTGAGTGACAGTGTGTGTGTGTGTGTCTGTGAGTGACTGAGCGTGTGTCTGTGTGTGTCTGTGAGTGACAGTGTGTGTGTCCATGAATGACTGTGTGCGTCTCTGTGTGTGTCTGTGAGTGACAGCGTGTGTGTCTGTGAGTGACAGTGTGTGTGTGTGATTGTATGAGTGTGTGTGCATGTGTGTGTCTGAGTGACTGAGCATGTGTCTGTGAGTGACAGTGTGTGTGTGTGTCTGAGTGATTGTATGAGTGTGTGTGTCTAAGTGACTGAGCGTGTGTCTGTGAGTGACAGCATGTGTGTCTGTGAGTGACAGCATGTGTGTCTGAGTGACTGAGTGTGTGTGTGTGAGTGAGTGATTGTATGAGTGTGTGTGTCTGAGTGACTGAGCGTGTGTCTGTGAGTGACAGTGTGTGTGTGTGTGTGTGTCTGTGTGCTTCGGTGTGTGTCTGTGAGTGACAGTGTGTGTTTGTGAGTGAGTGACTGTCTGTGTGTCTGTGAGTGATTGTATGAGTGTGTGTGCATGTGGGTGTATGAGTGTGTCTGTCAGTGTATGATGAGTGTGTTTGTCAGTGTATGAGTGTGTGTCTGTCAAATCAGTGAGAGTATGTTTGTCATTGAGTCTGTGTGTGACTATCAGTGTGTCTGTCAATGAGTGTCAATCAGTGTGGGTCTGTCAGTGTCAATGAATGAGTGTGTGTCAGATCAATGAGTCTGTGTCTGTCAGTGGCGTCTGTGTGTTTGTCATTGAGTGTGTGACTGTCAGTGTGTACAGAGTGTAGTGGAGCAGAGCGCGGTACAGGAGCTTCTGTTTCCTGTACCTGGCCAGACTGACAGGAGGTGCTCACAGAGAGAGAGCACTCCCTGTCAGTCCGTCCGGGTACAGAAAACTGAAGCTCCTTTAGGGGATCTGCTCCGCTCGGCAATGCAACAATAGAGGTAGGAGGCACACACCAGGAAGTGTGACCACTAAAGGGGTGGGGGTGCACCAAGGGACAGGGAGGGAATGGGAGAGAAACACCAAGAGACAGGGAAAAAAGGGGGGAGGGGGAAAGGGGGGAGGGGAGAAGAACACTAAGGGACAGGGAACGGAAGGGACCACTAATGGTCGGGGAGGGGAGAGGGGCTGGTTAAGACGCACATAGGTGAAGATTTTGGGGGGGGGGCGGAAAAATGCATCTTCGCCTATGTACCTAAAAATCCAAGCACCGGCCTTGTGTCCCCTAGTCTCCCAGTGTCTGTGTCCCTAGTGTCTTAGTGTCCCCAAATGTTTCAGTGTCTCCATGTCTCCCAGTGTCTGTGTTTCTAGTGTCTCAGTGTGCCTGGTGTCCCCATGTCTCCCAGTGTCCCTATATGTCCCAGTGTCCACATGTTTGTCCACAACTGTCCCCATGTCTCCCAACTGTCCCCATGTCTCCCAGTGTCCCATGTCTATGTCCACAACTGTCCCCATGTCTCCCAGTGTCCCCAAGTGTCTGTCTCCCAGCCAGTGTCCCCTAGTCTCCCAGTGTCTGTGTTCCCATGTCTGTGTCCCTAGTGTCTTAGTGTCCCCAAATGTTTCAGTGTCCCCATGTCTCCCAGTGTCTGTGTCCCTAGTGTCCCAGTGCCCCCATTTCTCCCAGTTTCCCTAAATGTCTCAGTGTCCCCATGTCTCCCAGTGTCCCCATGTCTCTGTGTCCCCATGTCCCATGTCTCTCAGTGTCCCCAGTATCTTAGTGACATGGGGACACACTGAGACATTGGGACACTGGGAGAAATGGGGACAACAGACACTGGGAGACTAGGGGACTGGACGACATGGGGACACTGACACTGTGATACATAGGGACACTGATACACTGGGTGACTTGCGAGACTGAGACACTGGGAGACAGGGAGACACTGGGAGCAATCCATCTATACAGCAGAATCAAACAGTGAGTAGTTTGTTGGTGATTTTACAGAATTTTCTCTGATGTCACTCCTTGTGATTTACATCATGTGATGTCACGCATAACTAATTAATTATACAAATGATTAAGGCTGGAATTTTTTTCCAAGAAGGTGGCAACCTTAACTACTCTTCACATACTCTTGCTTACCCCCTTAAGGACACATGACATGTGTGACATGTCATGATTCCCTTTTATTCCAGAAATTTGGTCCTTAAGGGGTTAAAGGAGCACTATAGGGTCAGGAACACAATCATGTATTTCTGACCCCACTATGTTAAAACCACCACCCTGGCCCCTTCTTGCCTCCCTAAATATAGTAAAATATTACTTGTATTCAATTCTGCAGCTGCTGGCTCAGAAGTGGTGGTCTGAGCAAATTACAACACTTCCCCATAGGATTGGCTGAGACTGTCAACTAGGCAGAACAGGGGCAGAGCCAGCACAAGTCCAGCATAGCCCTGGCCAATCAGCATCTCCTCATAAAGAAAAATTGAATCAATGCATCTCTATGAGGAAAGTTCAGTGTCTGCATGCAGAGGGTGGAGACACTGAATGTCAGTGCTGCACACTAGGCAGTACTGCCCCAGGAAGCACCTCTTGCAGCCATCTAAGGAGCGGCCAGTGGAGTTATTTTCTCTGAAAAGACAGTGTTTACTGCAAAAAGCCTGAATGGAATGATTCTACTTACCAGAACAAAAACAATAAGCTGTAGTTGTCCTGGTGACTATAGTGTCCCTTTAAGTTTGGAAGCTTAAGAGGGATGTATGGGAACAAAACTTGTGTGCACTGGCTGATATTAAAATTAGTTTAGGTAATGCAGACGTTGGTCTCTCTAACACTGTGGCATGTCCCCTTTCTTCTATACTCACTACAGACACCTTTTCTCTGTCTCAGACTATATACCAGGAACTTCTGCCTGCTAGTAAGAAGGTAAGGAGACAAGTGCTAGGGGACAGTCCTTAGAAAGAATGGAGTGAGCGCATCATTAGATGCATTTATGTCAAGCTCAAGGTGCTGCCTGCATAGTATGCCCTTAGTTGGCCAGCCTGCAGGATTGGCAGGCAGCCTGACATGCATTCATGCCAGACTGACCTTCCAATTCTTTGGACAAACATGCCCCCTTTTTGGGCATGTTCACCCCTTTTGGCAGGTCTTGTCACGTGATTTGCGCCAGTGGCACACCCTTTTACCCCGCCCATTGACTTCCTGCTTTGTTGGACACTGCTGTTAGGGGTTATGGATTTACTTGAAAGATGAAAGCATAAATTAGAGAAAGATTAGCATAGAGTGTTTGTTTTCTTATAGCTGCATCCTATGAGTTTCCCTCCAGCACCATCTCCATCAGATACATGATGCTTGGGAGGTATGACTGTTTTAGTGTTTTTGGTCGATAAGATTCCGTAATTAGGCCCATCATAATTGTCAGCACCAGGCCCACTGTGCTCTTAATCCAGCCCTGGTGACCAGAACAACTACAGCTTATTGAATTTGTTCTGGTGAGTAGAATCATTACCTTCAGGCTTTTTGCTGTAAACACTGTCTTTTCAGAGAAAATGCAGTGTTTACATTACAGCCTAGTGATAACTTCACTGGCCACTCCTCAGATGGCTGTTAGAGATCCTTCCTGGGTCATGCCTGCCTAAAATGCATCCAAACATTCAGTGTCTCCTCCCTCTGCATGCAGACACTGAACTTTCCTCATGGAGATTTATTGATTCAATTAATCTCTATGAGGACATGCTGATTGGCCAGGGCTGTGTTTGAATTGTGCTGACTCTGCCCCTGATCTGCCTCTTTGTCAGTCTCAGCCAATCCTATGGGGAAGCATTGTGATTGGATCAGGCCACCACTTCTGATGATGTCAGCAAACTGCTTGTTTTTCTGAGGCAAACAGCATGCAGATCTACAGCTTCAGGCTTGAATTCAGTAGGATTTTGCTATATTTATGGAGTCATGAGGGACCCGGGGGGGCTAGATGGTGGTTTTAACACACTAGGCTCAGGAATACATGTGTTTTGTTTTTCCTGACCCTATAGTGATCATTTAATGTATTTGTTCTGGTGAGTAGAATCATTCCCTTCAGGCTTTTTGTTGTGAACACAGTCTTTTCAGAGACGATGCAGTGTTTACATTACAGCCTTGGGATAACTCCACTGGCCACTCCTCAGATGGCTAGTAGATGTGCTTCCTGGGGCACATTGTGTAGCACCCTTTGCATGGAGATACTGGAAGAGCAGGGGCAGATACATTTACTCCTCCAGTCTACTGTTGCTGTAAGATTTTACTATATTTAGAGGGTAAGGGAGGCCAGGGGGCTAGCTAGTGTTTTAACATTATAGGGTCAAGAATACATGATTGTGTTCCTGATCCTATAGTGATCCTTTAAATTTGGAATTCTCACTATACAGAATACCTTGTAAGTGTTATGGGAATGGATGAATAGTGGCAGTTTAAGTGTAAATCCCACTAATCTCAAGCAGACACAGTCCTAGATTAGAGCCCCCAAACTGCACAGATGCAATACATGCATTATTTGCTGTTCATTACAGGAGATAACTGCACAGATGAGGTCACCAGCCATGCACTATATAATACAGTGGAAATAATGGGCAGACTATGTTATAATCTAATCGTAAAACCCCACCATTATATAATGATGTCAGGAAAACAATATTAAAGTAAAATACATGAAAAAACAAAACAAAACCTTTTTATACGTCTTACAGATACCCATTACAATATAATTGTTTTTCATTTCCTGCATCTGCTTGCAGACTGACTGAAACCTTACTGATGTTTGGATTGTTGGACTATGAGGGACAGATATGTGTTGCAATCTGCCATGGTATCACATTATATTTTATATAAAGTATAGCTAACACCCTTAATAATATGCTTCAGCTGCTGACTATAAAAAGTCATATCCTTATTAGTGATGTCCCGAACTGTTCGCCGAACGGATGATGAGTCCGCGGCGAACCGTTCGGGACATCACTAATCCTTATTTTATTTCAATTAAGGCTACTGCTTATCTGCAAATAGTAATCTCGTGTAAGAAAAATTAAGTCATTTCAGTTGTTTTATTTTTTATTGCACAACTTTTTATTTGATTTTCTGCCTGCTATTACCGTACCGTGCCAGATATGATGAGATGGCTGAAAAAAAAATCCCAACCTTGATAAGGGATTGCATATTTGAAAGGAAAATTTCACACACGGAAAAAAAAAATCAGCTACTTAGAAAATACTCCAGTGGGCCATATGCCAGATACAATGTTTAAGTGCTAATCCACAGGTTCACAGAATAAGAATAGAAGTGATATATATCTCTATACATAGTTCTTGAAATATGTATTAATATTAAAGGAACAAGTTATCACACAGAGTGCTACATTGTATGACCAGTACTACATTTCATATGGACACAGTGTTTTAAGTGCTTGTAGGTAAGTGAACAGATTAGAAAGATTGTGAAGTGTATTAAAACCCCTTCAGCTACTTACCTTATTCCAGCGCCGGGCTTCCTTGGCGCTGGTGACCTCTCCTCCCCCGTCGACGTCAGCTCCCTCTGCCGACGTCATCGGAGCCGAATGTGCTTGTGCAGCAAGTGCCACGCGCGCATTCAAAGTGTCCATAGGAAAGCATTTCTCATAATATGCCTCCAGCGTCGCAGATGCACCTCTAGTGGCTGTCTTCAGGACAGCCACTAGACGCTGGCTTAACCCCAAATGTAAACATAGCAGTTTCTCTGATACTGCTATGTTTACATTTGAAGGGTTAAAACCTGAGGGACCTGGCACCCAGACCACTTCATTGAGCTGAAGTGGTCTGGGTGACTATAGTGTCCCTTTAAAGTCTTAAACCAAGTCAGCACTTCCTTTGAGAAGAGGTGAGATTTAAAACTCATAACCATAGATAGGAGATTGCTATGGTTTGGTTTGTTCATTTCAAATAGCTGAAAGTCTGAACATTTTGACATCAAACCTGATTTTCAATGGAGGTTGAATAATTTTGATTACAACTACATATATATAAAACACAGAGTGTATGTGTGTTTTGGCGGTGTAAAAGATAATGAGTTTCTCAAACTCTATGTCTTATTTTTGTCTGTGTTTTTATAGGACAAAGTTTACGCCTGGTTGCCTTTGAATTCAAATGCATGTTCTTTTAAAAGGATCACTATAGGGTCAGGAACACAAACATGCCCTCATGCCTCCATAAATATAGCAAAATCTTACTGTATTCAAGCCTGAAGCTGTAGAGCTGCATGATGTTTGACTCAGAATAGCAACATATTTGCTGACATCAGCAGAAGTGGTAGCCTGATCCAATCACAATACTTCCTTTCCCATAGGATTGGCTGAGACTGACAAAGAGGCAGATCAGGGGCAGAGCCAGCATGATTCAAACACAGCCCTGGCCAATCAGCATCTCCTCATAGAGATGAATTGAATCAGTGAATCTCTATGAGGAAAGTTCAGTGTCTGCATGCAGAGGGTGGAGATACTGAATGTTTGGATGCATTTTAGGCAGCCATGACCCAGGAAGGATCTCTAACAGCCATCTGAGGAGTGGCCAGTGAGGTTATCACTAGGCTGTAATGTAAACACTGCATTTTCTCTGAAAAGACGGTGTTTACAGCAAAAAGCCTGAAGGTAATGATTCTACTCACCAGAACAAATTCAATAAGCTGTAGTTATTCTGGTGACTATAGTGTCCCTTTAAGATTCCAGATCCCAAAATTGAACATGTTCTTTTTGGCTGTAAAATGTTACCTTTGTACAACATACAAAGCGGATACAATAAATGTGTGTTCCCTGGCTAGCATTGATTCACAGATAAACAGGATCTGGCATTTGCCCTATTATCTGTTCTTTCTAAGGTCACACATGAAAGGAGACACCAGCAATGTTTATAACAGTGCTATACGTTGTAATTATCCCGCCGCAAGCTGCAAACACGTTCTGCAGTATATAGCGCTCATCTCTCCAAATCGTGCAATCTTCTGCTACATGGTGCTTGTCAGTGCATGTGAGATAAGGGAAAAAGATAGCTTAGTGTAATTATTGTATATTTTTAGAGAGCATTTAAGAGTACTAATTCAAATTTATACTAATCATTAACATTGGTACATTTCTTCGTGACTAGTGGTGTAGAGATTTCAACTTTTGTCCTAGACTTTAGAATGCATTTTTCTAAATATGTTGTGGCATAAAATTATATATGTTTATGTTTCAAAGGTTGTAATATCTGTTGCTTATCATAACATAATTGCTGAGGAGGTGTAATTTTGCAGTTTAGATATCTATATCTATTCCAGATTCAATGTCTAAAGAACAAAACTTGTGATTTTATATCCTACTTCGTGTATAAGTGGATGTTTGCAGTGATTATAGTGATAGCAGGCTACTGGCATAATCCACCAGTTTCTATGTTAAAGGGAACCTATAATCCCAAAAATATTTTGTTTTTTTTGGGGGGTGTATAAGTTACCTTTGATTACTGCAACCTCTGTCCACCTTCTTTGATGTTTTAAAATCTAATTTAAATATGTTTTACTCCCTTCCTTTTCCAGCACCAAGAACCCTCTTTGCAACCACCTGATCTGCCTTCTTCTTCGTCAACAAATTTGCAGATGTCTTGTCCAATTCAGTAGTAGACTGATCATTGCCGAGATGTAAACACCTAGCAAAATGCTGCGCTTGTTAAAAAAAAAAAAAAGGGAAGAGGTTTAACACAAGCTGAAATCCCCAAGGCACACCCAAGACCAGGCCCTTAATTAATGTTGCTAATGTGGAAGTTATACTTATGCATTAGTAATATCAATTCTATCCAGTTTTGGACAAACATCTGAGCTTGTCAGCTCATATTCTCAGTCAATCAATTAGAAAATTGACTTTGCTAATGTTCAAGTGTAAATTCAAAGTAAGCAATAGGACAATCAAGGGTCTGGGCCGCAGTCTCATTAGTACCTTAAGTTTGTGTCAAATCACTTGAAGACAGGAGCCAGTATCCTGTTAGCACCATAAACACTAAATGAGTTGTAGTGGTTATGGTATGAAGACTTTAAAATAAAATTATCCTCCTAGTTTAGTTTCTCCTCTTTGTGTCAGTAATAGTCTTCCATTGCACAAACTATCTTTTTCTCAGCTAATTATTTGTAAATTGAGTGCTCAGACTAACCCCACCCATCAGTTAAGTAACAAAGCATGGGAAGCCAATTAACATTTTGTTTGAGGTAAGTAATAACTGGAAAACAATAGGAAAACCCAGCAAAGCATAAAGACAAAATCAGTGAATCATTTTATAACTCAATCGTTTTATTATGTTATTTGCAGAGTATTCTGGAAATCTGCCATAGACTTCTTCAAATCCCTCTACATTCTTTTATTGTCTCTTACCTGCTCCTTCTCCAGGCCCCTGGGCTGTGGAATGAGGAGCTAAGATGTTTATAAAGCTGCAACAGCAGTAGACAGACCCCTCCGAAACTAGGTAGAAGCTCTGCCAATCAAAACATCGCATTTTGCTTTTTTTTAACCCCTTAAGGACTGAGCCAATTGTACAAGTTGTGATCAAATAAAAACGTAAAAAAAACCTGGCATCTGCGCTATATGTCTGTTCAGGTGTAATTCACCTCTTTCATATTATGTGTACCCACACTTATCATATATCATTTTGTTCAGGAGAAACAGGGCTTTCATATCACATCCAATATTTGTATATTAAGCATAACTTAATATGAATAGAATATAAAAATATGTGAGAAAAGACGACATTTTGTTATTTTTTTTAGTTCTGCATGACATTTTAACTGTGAATGTCACAATACTCTTAGCTGTTACTGCAATAAAGTACACATATTTGTATTCAGCGATGTATCACGGGTAAAACACTATCCCCAATGTACAGGTTTTATGGTGTTTTGGAAAGTAAAAGGGTCAAATATAGCACATTACATTTTTAAATTTATACACATTGAAATTCGTCAGATTGGTTATGTTGCCTTTGAGACCAAATGGTAGCCCAGAAATGAAAATTACCCAAATGATGGCATACCATTAGCAAAACTAGTCTTTTCTAGTAGTCACTTAGTTACAAACACTGGCCAAATTTAGCGTTCATGTTTGTTTGTATGTAAAAAATGCAAAAAACTAAATAGAACGCTAATTTTGGCCAGTGTTTGTAACTAAGTGGCTACTAGAAAAGACTGGACATACCCCATTTGCAATAACTTGGGTTGTCTACTTTTGCAAATGGTATGCCATCATGGGGGTACTTTTCATACATACCCCTGTATAAAAAGCTAAACTTATATGCAAATACCTATTTATTTGAACACTACGCACAAGAGCACACCTGCATTTTAAAGCCAACACTACATACAAACACACCGCTGCAATGAAACGAAAGCACTACACACAAGCAGGGCCGGTCATGTCACTCACTCACTGACAGACACACACTGGCAGACACACATTCACTCACTGACAGACACACACACACAGAAACTCACTGACAGACACACACACACACACTTACTGAAAGACAGACATACACTCACTGGCACACACACACACACACACACTTACTGACAGACAGACACTCATTGACAGACACACACACTTACTGAAAGACAGACATACACACACACACACAGACACTTACTGACATACATTCACTCACTGACAGACAGACACACACACAGACACACACAAACACTCACTGACATACATACACTCACTCACAGACACACACACACTCATTGACATACATACACTCACTGACAGACACACATACTCACACACACACTCACTGACACAGGCAGACACTCACTGACATACATACACTCAGTCACTGACAGGCACACACACACAGAAACTCACTGACATACTCACTCACTGACAGACACACACACACACACAGACACTCACTGACATACATACACTCACTCACAGACAGACACACACACATACACACAGACACTTACTGACTGACAAACATACACTCACTGACAGACACACACACGACACTTACTGACACACACTCATTCACTGATAGACTTACACTCACTCACTGACAGACATACACTAAAACCCACACTCACTGACAGACAGACACACACAGACACTCACTGACAGACAGACACACACACAAACACTCACAGACAGACACATACACTCATTGACATACATACACCCACTCAATGACAGACACACACACACACTCACTGACAGACACACACACACACACTCTCACTGACACACTCACTCACTGACACACACACAGACACTCACTGACATACATACTCTCTGACAGACAGACACACACACACTGACAGTCAAACACTCCCACACTCAATGACACACACAGGCAGGCACTCATTGACATAAATACACTCAGTCACTGACAGGCACACACACACAAACACACACAGAAACTCACTGACATACATACTCACTAACAGACACACACACACAGACACTCACTGACATACATACACTCACTCACTGACAGACACACACACACACACACACAGACACTTACTGACTGACAAACATACACTCACTGACAGACACACACACACACACAGACACTTACTGACACACACTCATTCACTGATAGACTTACGCTCACTCACTGACAGACATACACTAAAAGACTCACTGACAGACAGACATTCACTTACTCACTGACAGACACACACAGAAACTCACTGACAGACAGACACACACTCACTCATTGACATACATACACTCACTCAATGACAGACATACACTCTCTGACAAACACACACACACTCTCTGACAAACACACACACACTCACTGACAGACATACACACACTCACTCACTGACACACACACACACACACAGACACTCACTGACATACATATTCACTGACACACACACACACACACACACACACAGGCATACACTCACTGACAGACACACACACATACACTGACAGTCAAACACTCCCACACTCAATGACACACACACACAGGCAGGCACTCATTGACATACATATACTCAGTCACTGACAGGCACACACACAGAAACTCACTGACATACATACTCACTGACACACACACAGACACTCACTGACATACATACATACACTCACTCACTGACAGACACACACACAGACACTGACTGACAAACATACACTCACTGACAGACACACACACACACACACACACTTACTGACACACACTCATTCACTGATAGACTTACACTCACTGACAGACAGACATTCACTTGCTGACAGACAGACAGACACACAGACACTCACTGACAGACAGACACATACACTCACTCACAGACAGACACATACACTCACTGACAGACATACATACACACACACACACTCACTCACTGACACACACACACAAAGAGACTCACTGACAGACACACACACACAGGCAGACACTCACTGACAGACACACACACGCAATGACAGTCAAACACTCCCACACTTAATAGCACACACACAGGCAGGCAGGCACTCATTGACATACATACACTCACTAACTCAATGACAGACACACACAGACACTCATTGACATACATACTCACTGACACACACACACACACTCAAAGACACACTCACTGGCAGACATCCACTCACTCACTGACAGACATACATTCACTCACTGACAGACACACACTCACTCACTGATAGACACACACAAACACTCATTGACATACACTCACTGACAGACACACACACATAGGCAGACACTAACTGACATACATACACTCAGTCACTGACAGGCACACACACACACACACACACACACACAGAAACCCACTGACATACATACTCACTGACAGACACACACACACACAGACACACACACACACACAGAAACCCACTGACATACATACTCACTGACAGACACACACACACACACAGACACTCACTGACATACATACACTCACTCACTGACAGACACACACACACACACTGACTGACAAACATACACTCACTGACAGACAGACACACACACACTTACTGACACACACTAATTCACTGTTATATTTACACTCACTCACTGACAGACATACACTAAAACACACACTCACAGACAGACATTCACTTACTCACAGACAGACACACACACACTCATTGACATACATACACTAACTCACTCAATGACAGACACACGCACACTCACTGACAGACATACACTCACTCTCTGACAAACACACACACACTCACTGACAGACATACACTCACAGACACACTCACTCACCAACACACACAGACACTCACTGACAGACACACACACACAGACACTCACTGACAGACACACACGCACACACTGAAAGTCAAACACTCCCACAGTCAATGACACACACACACACACACACAGGCAGGCACTCATTGACATACATACACTCACTAACTCAATGATAGACACACACAGACACTCATTGACATACATACTCACTCACTAACAGACACACAAACAGGCAGACACTCACTGACATATATACATACACTCACTCACTGACAGACACACACACACTTACTGACTGACAAACATACACTCACTGACAGACACACAAACACACACACACAGACACTTACTGACACACACTCACTGACTCACTGATAGACTTATACTCACTCACTGACAGACATACACTAAAACACACACTCACTGACACACAGACATTCACTCACTCGCTGACAGACATACAGATACACACACAGACACTCACTGACAGACACAGACACTCACTCACAGACACACACACTCACTGACACACATTCACTCGCTCAATGACAGACACACACACACACACACACTCTGACGGATATACACTCACTCTCTGACAAACACACAATCACACACACACACACACACTGACAGTCCATCACTCACACACTCAATGACACACACACAGGCAGACACTCACTGACATACATACACTCACTAACTCAATGACAGATACACACAGACACTGACATACATACTCACTGACAGACACACAAACAGGCAGACACTCACTGACATACATACACTCACTGACAGGCACACACATACAGACACTCACTGACATACATACTCACTGACAGACACACACACACACACACACACACACACTGACAGTCAAACACTAACATACTCACTGACACACACACACACACACACACACACACAGGCAGACACTGACATACATACACTCACTGACAGTCAAACACTCAACTCCCTAAGGGTCCAGTGTGGGGCAGCTCCTCACTCCTCCAGCGTGCTGTTTAGTATGCCCGGGCCGGAATGATGTCATATTC